GGGGGGGGGGAGTCTGTAACAAAGGAAAAGACAATGTAGCTCTATACAACCATAGGCCATCAGCATATCACATTAGGGCACACCAACCAGAACTGATTATAGCCTGAGGTAGCATTCTGTGTTTACTTCTCTATTACTTCCTGCTCCTTAATACTCCTCCCATGATCTATCACTGCCACCCCCGACAGCCTTTACTTTCTACAGCTCCTCTTCCTCTATCAACTTTTAGATTCTAGTGATCTGGTGCTTCCCACAGGCAGTTCAGTCTCTTACCCTCTTCCTGTATTAGCTCATCCTGTATTAGCTCATGCATTCTACTCAGCCCTGTCCTTGACAAGCACTTAATCAAGTGGGGGAGGGTGATGTGTCACTAGGTTAGGTACAATATCACAGTCAGTGCTATGAAAGAAATATAACAAAGTGCTGTGAGTGCATATTCACCTGTCATTACCCCATTTGGTATTTTCCAAATCAACACTCCAGCTTCCCACTCTCTTGTCAGTTACTAAGAGCTATATCTTTCCATCATATCCCCTGATCTCCAAATCCACCTTGCAGTTTCTCATATGATCTATTTCAAACACTTTCTATCAAAAACACAACTGAGTATATTTCCACACTGTCCTATCAGCCATCTCCCTAAAAACATAACATACCATATTATCCCCTTGCTTTGAAACATCTAATAGCTCTCCAATGGCTAAGAGATCAAGTTCAAATCCTTAGCACAAAAACATAAGATAACATGTTTTTCAAATAGAGCCTTTTAAAAGTAGGCAGATGAAGTTCCAGTTCCACTACTTACTAGCTGTGCTACCTCTGGCAGGTCACTTTTCCTCTCTAAGTTTTCCCAGTTGCAAAATGAGGATACAAAAAGAACCTACCTCTCTTGGGGTTGTTATAAGAAACAAGAAACTCTATGCCAAACACCAGCACAGTACCAAGCACTCAATCAATATTAACTAATACCCTGGGGTGTCTCATCTATCTAGAATGTCTCACTTCCCAAAGGAAGCAGATAATCATGGTCTTACTTTCACATATTTTAGAATGATTAATAGTAAGAGTTAAATCAGAAATGGTCTTCTGGTTAATCCTGAACCAACAAAAACTTCAATTAACCAAAATATTACTCTCATGAAAATTTCGGTTTGTCTAAATTTACTATAACTTATTAAAAAAAACCAGTACTTGTTTATTTTTTAAAAAAATAACTAGGTTAGTTTGTTTTGTTTTGTTTCTTATTCAAGTTCAGGAATCAAAAAGCAGTACCTTACAAATGGAAGCTCATTTAGACATTTAAGAATGTGATTCTCTGTAGTATAAAATCCACATGAATTAAATTCAATCTCAATCACATATACAATTTGCTAAAGATATATATATGTGTGTGTGTGTGTGTGTGTGTGTGTGTGCGTGTATATATATACACAAAACAAATTCTAGAAGCTTAAGAAAATAAGTGTGCATCAGATGATGGACAGTCATTTCGACCTCACAATCAAAAGATGAAATCACAAAATTTTGTTTAAAAGTCAGTGATTCTGCCCTAGCAGGTTTTGCTCAGTGATCAGGCCCACAGATTGAGAGGTCCCAGGTACAATTCCAGCCAAGGGCACATACCTCAGTTGCAGGCTCCATCCCTGCCCTGGTTGGGGGCTCATGCAGGAGGCAACCAACCAATGTGTCTCTCTCACATCAATGTTTCTCTTTTCTCTCTTCTCTCCCTTCCACTCTCTCTGAAAAGCAAGGGAAAAAATATCCTCGGGTGAGGATTTAAAAAAATAAAAATAAAGTCCGTGATTTTAAGAAGGTAAAGGGGGGATAAATGGTGATGAAAGAAGACATGACTTGGGGTGGTAAAAACACAATACAATATACAGATTATATATTATAGATTTGTATATCTGAAACCTATATAATTTTATTAACCAATGTCACCCCAATAAATTCAATAAAAAAGTCAGTAATTTTAATAATTTTCAAAACTGCAAAGTCTACAACAATAAACACAACAAAAACAGAAGATTAATGTATTTATGATGTTAAGTGCTAATGAAAATTAGTAAGAAGATCCCTGTAAATTTATGCACAAAGGACAAACAATGCCAACAAAGGAGAAAATAAAACTAGAAAAACACCGCATTTGCTTTTCTAGTGTAGATAGTATGTTAGCAGGTACCCTTATAACCATTTTTAAAAAAAAAAATCTTCTAAAAAACAAAAGCCTATAATAGTAGTATAAAACTGTCAACCAAACTGCAGGAGGCAGTGTAAATCAATACAACCTTTCAGAAATAAATCTGGCAGTATTTTGCAAAATTGACAAAAACTTTCATACCCTCTGACCTTGTAATCCCTCTCCTGGAACTTTAGCCTAAAAAAAAAAAAAGGACAGCTATATGTTAACTGCATTACTTGCAAAATGGTAGGCAACTTAGATGTCCAATTATTAAAAGTAAGCAACTCAACTCGTAATATTATATAATAATTTAAATGTACAAAAACCTTAGCAAAAAGAAAACATTAACTATGAAAGCAAATATTAAACATTACATTTATGCCTTGATTATCATATAAAATCATGTATACATGATGAGAAATAAATAAGAAGAAAAATTAAAAATTCTATTTTTTTTCTTATTTCTTTGACCATTAAGTTGTTTGTAAAATAAAAAGCCTGTTTGAACTGATCAGGTCCATCACAGTAAGTACACATTTTAAAATTGATTCTTCAGAAGCATAAAACCACAATTATCATTCCCCCCCCCAAAAAAAACCTATCACATAGAGAAATCAGATAGACTCTTCTCACATACAGAGTAGCCATACATGTAATTTTAGCCATGCTATTAGCCAGCTGGAACTTGGTTATATTAAAATCTCATTTTACCATCAAAACATAACTGTAGGTAGGATCTCCACATGGTGGGCAGAAGCCACTTATTATGGGGCATTTGGAGAGCAGGCCCCCGAGCACTGAGGTTAAAAACTATCCAAACAAATGGAATAGTGAAGCTCAGGTTTCTCCCATATCCCCAAATGAATTATCATGTTTCTTAGCCACTAAAGAGCTAAGCATTCAAGGAGGGAGAAAGTGGGAGATTATTTGCTCTCCCTCTGAAAATTGGTAACTTCGTCATTTTCTCCCAAAAGCACCATGGAGTAATGAAAAATACACAAACATGAGGTCAGGAGATGTCAGGTGACTCTAAGTAACCTCAAGCAACTTGCCCTTTGGGGTATAATTTTAAAAACTGAACCAAATAACCTGTTAATTCTTTCAAGTTCAATAGTCTATTAATTTAAAAGAATTACCCTCCCCCGCAACACACACACTCAAAACCCCTCAGATTGTAAAACAATAAGATTTAGAATTAGGAAACTGGGAGCAAAGGTAAGATACCCTGATGGTCAAAAACCTGGATTGTATCCCAGCTACGTCTGTCCCTTTCTACCTGTATGACCTTGGGCAAATTACTTTGCCTCGAAGTCCTAAAATCAAAGAAACAGCGATCCTACAGGCCATGCCCTTTTATTTTTGTGTCATAAAGTGCACTGTTTCTTCTGTCATAACTGGGGTTTCCCTCCTAACCAGCAACAATAATTTTGACTTCATTCTTAGAAGTTTAAAAGTGCCTCATTTGTGCATTCATCTTTTCTAAATTTTCTGATATTGAGAGGAGTTCCCACATTTTGCCTGTCTTAAAGCCATGCTCAAGATTGAGGGCACTCCTCAAAAACGCAGTCAGCAGTCTCCGCGCACCTGTGCCGCACACGGCGCCGTGTCCTGAAGAGGCCCGCAGCCGGGGAGACCCGCCAGCCACCACCTACCCGCTGACCAGCGCGACCACCCA